AACACGGATCGGGGAACTGACAGTTCCGGATTCGTGTCCCGGTCTAGTAAATTGCGAAAGCTCACCTTCAATTCCGTCCATAGCATTTGCCATTTTCACCTTATTTCCATCCTGTGACATGTTGTGATGCTCTGTTAAGTTTCTACGACTTCACAGGGTTTCTCTACATGGCATTCATAAGGCATATGTACTTAATTAGTATACACATTATTATGCTGTACATAATGCTTCTAATATAAGTGTTAATATATATATATATATATTATATATATTATTTTATATATATATATATTTTATATATATATACATATATATATATAATTAAAATAAAATACTTCTATCAGCATGATTGATCTCAATAATAAACAATAAATATGCAATATGTTTGTCTAATCGGATTTGCCTTGCTAGATTTGATGGTACAGACATATTGCATTAATAATTAATATTAGAGAGCTTTCTCTGCATGTCATTCATACAACATGAGTAATTAACTAAAATTTATATAACTTTGCTGTACATAGCGCTTATTATATAAACGTTAATATATATAGAGTTAAAATAAAATATTACTCTCAGCTTGAGTGATCTCAATAATAAGCAATAAGTATGCAATATGTTTGTTTAAATATATAACATACTTATTACTTATTATTAAGATCATTCTTGCTGAGAGAAGTATCTTATTTTAACTCTATATATATATTAACATTTATATAAGAAGTGCTATGTACAGCAAAGTAGAATATATTATAAATAAGTACAAAAGTCTTATGAATGCCATGTAAAGAAACCCTATGAAGTCATAGAAATTTAACAGGGTTTCTCTGCATGTCATGAGGCATCTGTACTTAATTAATATACATATTACTATGCTGTACATAGTGTTTATTACAAATATTAATATATATAGAGTTAAAATAAAATACTTGCAGCAGCACGTATGATCTCAACTAATAAATAAATATGTAATATATTTGTCTAATCGGATCTGTTTTGGTAGGTCTAATGGTACAGGCGTATTGCATTAGTAGATATTAGAGAGCTTTTAAAAATTCCTAGGTAACTTAATTGTAATATCTTGGTTATTTGAATAAATACAATTATTTTATCTTTACATAAGTGAGAATAGATAATAGCTTTATATAGCTAGTTTTATAATACTACGTTATCAAAGAAACCCTATGAAGTCGTAGAAATTTAACCGGGCATTACAACATGTTACAGGATGGAAATAAGGTAAAAATGGCAGATGTTTCGGACGGAATTGAAGGAGAGCTTTCGCAATTTACTAGACCAGAACATGGAACGGGGAACTGATAGTGCCGGGTTCGTGTCCCGGTCTAGTAAATTGCGAAAACTCTCCTTCAATTCCGTCCGTAGCATCTGCCATTTTTACCTTATTTCCATCCTGTAACATGTTGTGATGCCCTGTTAAGTTTCTACGACTTCACAGAGTTTCTCGTAATAAACATAGTTTGAGTCGGGTTTATACGTCATCCGCGTTAGTGGTTCTATAGGTTCTCATATTCCCAAGTTTTTCAATTAATTTTTACAAATTTTAACGAATTTTACCTTCTATGACGAATAAGTATTTTTTTATCTATTTATTTATGTATTGTTTCCTGAGAAAAATAATTGTATGAGTCCTTTTTTTTACTTTTATCCATCAATATTTCGTTCTCATGATGAATTGTATGGTATGCCCATGAGGAAGGAGAAGAGAAAATAGACAAGTAGAAAGTTCTCTCCGTACAGAGTTTCTTCCAAAGGTAAACGATATCTAGTTTTTTACGAATGATTTTTCGAAACTTTGCTGTACATAGGCGTTAAGGTAATGAACCGCTGTATTTATTTCGGATAATACTCTCGGCGTTTGTTCGCGATCAACGAAGTCGAAGAGATGCGCTCTCGGCTGTATCATGTATAATCGTATAAGCACTCTAGTTTACTACTGTTGCCAAGCCTAGCGGTTGGTTTAACGATCTCATCTCGAATGTAGCCATGTCTGTAAGCGCTCATAATAATAACGAGCAAGCACGTCGCACAAATCGACGTGGCCAAGATTCAGGGATGAAGAATCTATAGAACGGAGAACGCCAGTGTCGCGAGACGTGTGCATCTTTGATGTCCTTGTTTAAGGTAATGAATACAAAACGATGAATACAAAATTAACTTTACATAAAGTTTAACCTGAATCTCGATCTAAATCAATGTGAATCAGTAAGATGATAATTGATATGCATTGAAATTTAGACTGAATGTAATCCTATCATTTTGTATCTATTATTTTAACCAAGAGCGTACTTCGAAGAAAATCCGCGTCTCCTCGTAGCAATTAGCCGTTCTCCTGAGGCTCGGTTACGTCGAGACATAATCACATCCTTTTTCTATGTAGATTTAAGCTCGATACATGATGTACAAAATTATAACTTTAATAAAGTTAATCTTTTCGTCGATGGATCGATATTTTTCTCAGCTATTGCAGATATTGAAAAGTTACTTTGATTAATATGTCTCTAATTAACATCTCGGAATAGTTATCAGGACCCGCAAGACCTGAGAGATATTGTACAAGCGCAACACGGATTAGTCGTGTGTTTAACATTTAAGGAGCAATAAAAGAAAGATTATTGTAAACAGAGGAAGGTTCCTATCCGAAGAATCATTCCGGCGAATTTTTAACTCTATGACTCAAACTATGTTTATTCGCACAAAATATATATTCTTAGATACACGCTATATCTCTACAGGATATACCAGCTGTACATTAATATACATTCTAAGAACGTTTAGACACATTACACGTATCGCAACATAACATTATAATTCGCGAAATGATAAAGTTAGTAAAAGCAGGTTTGCGAAAGTAGCGGTTGTCGTTGCCGTTTTGGTAGCCAGCTGTTGTTTCCCCTTTTACCACACCATGAAACGTTGCACCTGTTCCACTACGTTGTTCCTAAGAAAAAATAATGTATTTTGCAGATTATATTGACACAAAGCAAAATTGAAAAAATTGTTAGATGTATTTGTTAAACTTTTCTTTTGTCTAAAGATATTTTGTAGCTATTTTAATATCTACCTAAGGAAGGATTTCTTGCCATTATAGAGAGAAAGCCCATAAACGGTGCAAAGAGCGACGACGACAGCTTGTCCAATAAAGTCAGACGTCATAGGGTACTTCAAGAATTCGTCATTCTTCGCCAAATTGGGGACGATCTTCATCCTACTTTCTACATTTCTATCGACGCGTGTGTTTTGCAAATTTCGTTCCCACTTAGCGGATAGTCGTTCGTAGTCTGCGATCTTGGAAAGCATCCTCTCAGCGGACAAGCTACGTGGTTCGCGATTTTGCTCGGGAACACGAGAAACTCTGACGACTTGACGAAGAGAAGTCAGTTTCGATGACGGTCCCTTGATATTCAGACTTGATGATCTCTGACGTAATTGTCTAATAATATCTCTTTTAAGAATATTTCTTAGTCTCAAATTCTCATCAATTCTTCGCTCGGACGACCTTCGCGAGTCGAGAGCAGATCGTTTCTCCAGAATCCTTCCATGAGAAGCTCGCAATTTCAGGTTTCGTTCCAGGTGACGATCTGTCATCCTGGACTCTTCGCGTGATCTGGAGCTCTCCTCGATCCTTCGCGAATCATGAGTAGATCGTTTCTCTAGAGATCTCCCACGAGAAGCTCGCAACTCCAGACTTCGTTCCAGACGACGATCTGCCATCCTGGATCCTTCGCGTAGTCTTGAGCTCTC